TAGTAGTAAATTCACTATTTTCCATTTGAGTGTATCAACCTATTAAACATAGAAAGATGAAAGGTGAAGTGACTTACCTTTCTTTGGGCAGGGTTGGACTGTCATCTGTGTGCTGAGAGCACATGCACGAGCAATGTGACCCTGAAATGAGTAATTAAGTTGGTTCATGATAAGTATTTAAATACTATTAAATTATTTAAAATGTGTCAGATCTAATAAAAAGCAAACACAAAGCTTACCTGAGCTAAGAGCTCTATCTTCACCTCCTCAGGTAGGTCAGTGGCTGTCACACAGGGAGGGGTTTGCTCAGAGTGGTGAGGGTCTGGGATTTTCTGTGACCTATGCTTATTCCAGTCTAGAGGGACAGGAGGACAACTGGGCTCCAAATGCTGCAGTCCAAACCTTTCTCCTGAAACTGACTTGGATTTTCCAAGGGAAGATCAGCTTCCTTTTCATTGTATTGTATTGTAATGTATTATATGGTTTTAAAATATATAAATGATCTACTACAGGAACTCAATACACTGCATACACACTTATAAACTCGCTGACTCCTTTCCGTTTTGAAACGGAAGAAACAGCGCCCCCAAAATTACGCTAGTGGGCAAAAGGTGTATTGCATCCGTAGTGTTAAGAACTAGCATTGGAAATGAATAGGAAAAGTTAAGAGAGTTAAGCTTCTGGGCGGAAACAGTTTTTGTCTTCTATTACTCTGCCTTTTTTCCAGAGGCCGGTCCCTATATTGTGGTTCAAACAGGATCTCGCTGTTAAGCACTTATTCAGATCAGAATAGGAACCGAATGACATTTGGTAGATTTACTTTGGCAACTATGAGAGAAAAGGTGCGCTTATTTTAAAAGTAGTTACACAAAACGATGAATAGGTAGTGTGGTTGACACAGTTCTATTGTAACCACTTGTATTTAAAAAAAGGAAAAAAAAAAAAAAATCTGTTTCCGCCCGGTTTCGAACCGGGGACCTTTCGCGTGTTAGGCGAACGTGATAACCACTACACCACGGAAACATGAAAAGCATATTTCGTATACTACCTATGAGTTTTTGACATCATATACATGGGTTCACATATATGGATGAGAGGTAGGAAGGGACGAACTGGGAACTCAGTGTTGTTTCCCGAAAGCAGCAGCAACCTTGCACCCAGAAATAGTACCGCGTTGTGGTCTACAAGGGTATGTAAGAGGTCGGGGCAAGACGTCAGTTTCCGTGGTGTTGTGGTTATAAAGTTTGCCTTACCGGGTAAGCCTTTCTTGTTTCTCATTCCTCCCTAACCTGCTTTGATGCTTTAGAGTGCTGCTTAGCAGCCTCAAGCTCTCATGAAAAAAGGAGGGTGGGCAAAATTTAACAAATGGCATTCTTGGGTCTATCAGGCCCTCTGCTGCATAGGTCTGACAGACTTTAGTGGAACAGTAAACAGTTCATATCTCCTGATTGATAAAAAAAAAAAATAATACTGGATCCATCCCCCCGGAAACGTGACTTTGGCTGGCCACAAGCCATACAGTTCCTTGTTCTTTTTTTGCAGGTGGTTGTTGCAGGTCCTGTTGCTTCTGAACAATGTCTTTGACAATCTTCTCAATTTCTGATTTTGTCAAAGGGGCATCCAGTGGTGTAATGCCTGGGGGGGAATGCCACAGCTGTTGGGTCTCCAAAAGTTTCTATTAACTGGTGTTTAGTGATGAGCTGGTGTTTGTCGTCTTAGCCAGGTGTTTCACATAGCATAGCAAGATATATGCTGTTTAGTGGCAGGAGGCTGTTTGGATCCCTGGATGCAGCCTGAACAACAACAGCATACTCTGCATCAACTATGGATAGAAAGTGTTTTTGCCCATGATGCTTTGCCATGAGTTGGTCAGTACCATCCCTTAATGGCTGTTTCCACCTAGAATGGTCCAGGACATACAGCAGACCACCAGCCTTGACAGGACCTGTGCGAGCAGCACGTGGAGAGGGTGCAAAAGGCAGTGCTGGTACCACTGGAACATCTGATAGAGAGAAAGAAAACAAAGTAGAAAATTCACTTTTTTCCATTTGAGTGTATCAACCTATTAAACATAGAAGGATGAAAGGTGAAGTGACTTACCTTTCTTTGGGCAGGGTTGGACTGTCATCTGTGTGCTGAGAGCACATGCACGAGCAATGTGACCCTGAAATGAGTAATTAAGTTGGTTCATGATAAGTATTTAAATACTATTAAATTATTTAAAATGTGTCAGATCTAATAAAAAGCAAACACAAAGCTTACCTGAGCTAAGAGCTCTATCTTCACCTCCTCAGGTAGGTCAGTGGCTGTCACACAGGGAGGGGTTTGCTCAGAGTGGTGAGGGTCTGGGATTTTCTGTGACCTATGCTTATTCCAGTCTAGGGACAGGAGGACAACTGGGCTCCAAATGCTGCAGTCCAAACCTTTCTCCTGAAACTGACTTGGATTTTCCAAGGGAAGATCAGCTTCCTTTTCATTGTAAACAGTGAACAAAGACCAAAATTTGTAATGTATTATATGGTTTTAAAATATATAAATGATCTACTACAGGAACTCAATACACTGCATACACACTTATAAACTCGCTGACTGCTTTCCGTTTTGAAACGGAAGAAACAGCGCCCCCGAAATTACGCTAGTGGCCAAAAGGTGTATTGCATCCGTAGTGTTAAGAACTAGCATTGGAAATGAATAGGAAAAGTTAAGAGAGTTAAGCTTAACTATCCCGCGAAAGGTCCCCTGTTCGAAACCGGGCGAAAACAGTTTTTTTCCCCCGCTTTTTTTAAACATTTATTTTATAATTACAAGTTGTTACAATAGAACAGTGTCAACCACATTTCCTATTCAACGTTTTGTGTAGATACTTTTAAAGTAAGTGCACCTTTTTCTCATAGTTACTAAAAATAAATCAACCAAATGTATGCAGCTGCTGCATCAACGTTGTTCTATTTCTCTTTTGATCCAAATAAGTGCTTAACAGCCTGTTTAAACCAAAATTGAGGCACCTTTGCGTGCTAGGCAAAACGTGATAACCACTACACTATGGAAACATGCCAAGACCTTTGACAAAAGCCTTCAAAAATGGTAAACCACATTTGTGCTTTTGACATAATTTACATGATTGATATACATATTTACATATATAAATAAGAAGTAGGAATGGACAAAATGAGAACTCAATGTTGTTTCCCGAAAGCAACAGCAACCTTCGACCCGGCAATAGTACCACATGGTGGTGTTTATAATGTAGTGTAGTGTTTATAAGGTCACCAGTTCGAAACTAGGCGGAAACATTTTTTTCTGTTAGACATAATGTCACTTTATTACTGGAAGTTGATATATTCAGTAGCTTTCTTTCACTTTCTGCATCAGCAGTGACATCATCAGCACACTCTCAGTCCGGCCTCAGCTGCGGGTCTTCAGACGTCACCTCCATCTTCTCTGCAACACCATCGTACATATCTGCACCAGAATCAAACCACCTCCTTCCTCCCAGTGCCGTCAAGCCTGCCCTCCAGGCGTTTCAGCCACAGGCCCTGCCACCCGCCTGCATCCTGCCAACCTCCATAGTGGTTCCCATACTGCCGGACTACCTCCTGCCACAGCAGGTAACAAAAGGTGAGGTTGGCCACTGTCAGGACCAGAAACCAGTGCTGCCACCATGCCTCTTTACACCATCAAAGCCTTGTCCTCGCAGTTCCAGTACCAGGGGGCAGCCTGCAGGAACAGACTGCAGTGCAAAACTCCACCCCATGAGCGGCCGTACGCCTGCCTTGCTGGCGGCTGCGATTGCTGCTTCTCTCGTTCAGATAAACTGACGCGCCTCGTGCGCGTATACATGGTCCAGAAGCTGTTCCAGTGTCGCATCTGCATGCGCAACTTCAACTGCAGCGACCATCTGACCACGCATATTAGCACACACACTGGTGAGAAGCTAGTGTGTGTGGTTTTTTTTCTCAGTGTTTTTTTTTCTTAGCAAAATGAGAAAAAAATAAGCCAGTTCTTAAATCTAAAGGCAATATTAAAATGTAATATCCCTGCAATCAAATCAGTTTACTTCAAGTCAACAAATTTCATCACAAGTGTCGGAGTCTGGGAGTGTTCATGTATTGGTTTTTGCCTGCTGCCAACACTTACTCACCACTAGATGTCGCCAAGATCCTCTGGTGTGGAGGGTAGCAGGTGTTCCTCATTTTCATCAACCTGGAGGAGTATAAGAAGGTGGAGCTGTCATCACTCCATTGCCTGAGTGTTAACCTCTGTGGTAACTCAAAATGGCCAAGCTATGAGAGCTCAGTCTAAACTTAAAGTTCATAGTCTCTTACCTCTCTTGTGCTCCATCCTAGGAAACCTCAAGTCCTGGTCTCAAGTCCCTGTGACCTTCAGCTCTGGCTCTAAGTCCTTAGTTTGGATCCTGCCTCAGCTTAAGTATTCAAGCCTCAAAAGAAACCCATTTTGGATCAAGCTCCGGCTGACAGCTCAATACCGACATCTCCAGGCAAACGAACCCTGCTCACCCTCCACCAATTGCTTCACCTAATCCTCACCAGTTAACCTCAAATCAGTAATATTGATCTGGATTATTCAACTGCTAAAAACGCACCCAAAGCATCAGCAGGGTACTCACCGTCTTCCTGGATAACTCACCGTTTCCGCAGCAGTGTCTATTCAGTCTTCCCAGGCTCCGCATCATTCCTCCCCTCCAACCACCTTTCATCAAACAGTAAGCAAAGATCTTGATCCAGTTCCCAGTAATCCCCATTTGTCTCCAGAGTACTTACCTGTCCTCCTTTCCCGTACAGTGCGGTGCCTCCAGTCCCGGTTCCAGTTCAATACCCACTACCCGTCAAAATAAACTTGTTAAACTTTTCTCCTGCCTCCCGAGTTTCATTCTGCATGTAGGTCAAATCAGTGAAGAAAACTATGACGACAAGGAATATTGCAAGACTAATTTATCTGATTTGTAGGCAGAAATGTATAATCGGACAAATAAAAGATGGTGTGTTTTTTTTTTTTTTTTCCTTACTGTAAAACTTTTTTGTGTTCTGAAGCTTAAAAATAGAAATACAATTAATTGTGGTTTTCTTATTTTACAATAACATTTGAAAGTAAAAGTATATCATTTTATAAAGCTTGAAATGGAACTTCTTTATGGGTGCACTTTTAGACAATTATTTATTAGCTGTGGGAAGGAAAATGTGGGTCTTGGTTTGTAAAGTTTGCTGATTCTGTTAAAATATTAATGTAACTCTGTCACTTCAGAAATAATCCCTCTGTGTAAGAACAAAACGGAACAACGTCCTAACAGATACAATACCAATGAAAAAGCATAAAGTTGGTAGCTTAAAATTAATAATACTAAAGGGAAAATTTCAGAAGAAGACTTTAACTTTAACTATGTTTGTCCCGTCCTGCACCTCAATTTTTATATACTAGAAACACTCAGGGCTTTAGGGTTGTGGTGGGGTGACTGCTGTCAGCAACCTTGGAGTGGTGGGGTTCCAGTTGGCTATAGCTCCCAGGGAAGTGTCGGGCCGGCCGTGGGCAGCATGGGAAACTCTGGGCTCTGGTGGGCATTCCTTTCTCTTGACCTCCCAGGAGCTAGCTCACCAGGTGGGATGTGCCCTCCCTACCTTGCTCCTTCCAAGTTCCGACTGCCACAGTGGGTTGCTGAGCTGGTGGGCTGGCATGTTTGAGGCTCTGGGAGGGGGTCTCCACTACCTGTTGCTGGGTGGTCTTGCTGCCAGGTGTTGGTGCAGACCCTGGGCTGCTGGGGGGACTGGCTCTCGGGGATGGCGATGTGGCTTGGTCTGGGGTGCCCTACATCTCACCTTGTACCTCTCTGGCCTGGGGGCTGCTGCCCCTGTGCTTCACTGACAATGCGCTCGGTGCATGCATCACTTCCTCATTTAGAGTGAGGATGGTACGATGTTTCCGGTCGGTATGCGGAAGTGCCGGTGTTATGGCTGAGTCTACGAAGTTCACAGGTAGCTGCTTAGTAATGTGACTGTTGTTTTTTGTCATGAACCAAACCATCCTGGTAATAGAAATGCCTATTTTTTTTTAACATGTTTGTATTTCTGATGGAAGTATCAGGCAAAAATACGGCTAAAGAAATAACAGTGAGGGCTCACTGCTTCAGATCTATGAGGAAAACAGATACGCCACACTAGCTGAGAGTAGGACTGGTTAAAATGAGACGTTCCAGGTTCTGTTCTGTGTAACGTTCGAAGTTCTGTTGAACATGTTCAAAAGTTAGTTCAACATGAGTTCTACCCTTTTTGTCCTTGCTCTTACTTCACTGCATGTTCTAAATGTATTCTTTCCTTTCATCTTAACTTCTTTATTAACTTATTGCCTCTACACTTATACTAATTACCATATTCTGATAACTCTTCCCGAAGCAGTAGAAGCAAAACCTGCACTGTTCCATTGTTGGTGGCACAAGAAACAATGAAAATCTGTAATTCTGTCACTCCTATGTGTAAACATCTCATCTGGAGTGAAAATGAAATTCAAATTTAAAGTATATTTGGTTCATAGTTCTCAGAAATCCGTGCTTGCTCAGTAAACTATTGGATTTAAACTTATTAGCTCATGCACAACACTGTTGAAGAGAGAGAGAGTACAGCCAGGTGGTGTGCAAGCAGAGGTGGGTAGTGTACCAAAAAATGGTCCTTAAGTAAAAAGTAGCCGTCCAAGAAAGTTACTTACTCAAGTAAGTGTAAAAAAGTATTTGGTAAAAAAGGCTACTTAAGTGCTGAGTAACTGTTTTACTATTTAAAATGATGTAATCAGACAGACCATAATATAAAGTCATGTGCAAATTCCTTTTGTTTTAAAGACTAAAAAAAACTGATTAATACAAATTTTAAAAAAAAAGGAAAATAAACTAGGCAGAAATCTCAGCAGATAAAATAACATTAAAACAATAAAGATTGTGTGAAGAAAAGAAAACTGATTTTTAGTGAAACTTAAACCATACCATTTTAGGTTAAAATGTGCTTGTTCTTTAGTCAGTAAAGTTGCTCACAGTGGATAGAGCAGCCAAAGATTTTATTCAAGTAAGAGAAGCGATACTTCATGATAATATTACTCAAGTAAAAGTAAAAAGTATGTTGCAGTAAAACTACTCCTAAAAGTAAATTTTTGTGAAAAAGTTACTCAAGTAAATGTAACTGAGTAAATGTAACTAGTTACTACCCACATCTGTGTGTAAGTGATTTAAAACAGCACAAATATTACATGAGACAGTAGACAAGTGAAATACACCACTAACAAGAGCACAGGGCAGATGTTGCTCCTATTGCCATTGCTGGAGACTGTCTTCTTTTCAAGATACTAAATTTTGTCTCTGTTTTTCAGATGACATTACGTGATTCAACACCAGTTGTGCTGATTAGCAGCAACTGCTCTTGTGTGGCTGGTTGTGGAATCTGCAACCACTTAGTTGCATTGCTTTTCCAGACTGCTCATTATTCCGAATGTGGTCTGTCTGTTGTCCCTCCTGTACTTTCATGCACACAGACAGAACAGAAGTGGCATAAACCACGTACTATGGTTTGTCTCATTTCATTATCTAACGTTTGTATTACATTTTACAGTCACTTTACTAACACCATGTTTTCAATAAATAGGGGGTGAAGCCTGGACCCGTGGATGCCATGGTTGTCTTAAAGCCTAAACCAGGTGCTACTACAGCCAGTGGACTAAGGTATGTAATATCAAATTTAATAGGGAGCCTACAGTTTGTAGATAAATTTGTAGATTTGTTTGTAAAAATAAATGTTCTTGATCATCTGATGTTATTCCATCATTGCTGTTGCCCTGTTCTCTTCAAAATCTTTCATTTTACCTCCTAGTACTTCAGATGACATGTGATCTGCGCTTCACAGTCAGTTGTGCTGGTAAACAGACTACAATGTGTAAAAATAAATGTCATCAACTGTTCTGTTATTTCAGATCTACACTTTACAAGGCCTACAGCGGTGAGCTCCCACACCCGGCCACCCTCAATCCTGGACCAGCCTATGCTGGAATGAAATCTGAAT